GGAATCTTCAGAAGAACTATCAGATCCGCCGCTTTCAGGGCGAAACACCATTCTTTCACTCACACTCTAAACGTAATGATAGCTCAAGAGGTCACTCATTAGACCCTTAGATATACAATGTCTTCATGTATTAAATATAATAATGTTTGTCATTTTCCCAAAGATGTTAAGTTTCATATAACTAATGATAACGACGACAGCGAAGCAGCGGTTAAATTATTACAACACCAGGAGATTGTCACTAATGGGACGCATGAATCGCATCCACTAAAGGAGACCATAAACTCTGTGGACTTTCATAAGACAACAAGTATTAGATTTGCCGACGAAACCAACGAATCAATAAGTAATGACATTAAGAATAACAAAGAATCAAATCAGACGTCGACCACAAGAGTCAGATTCGCTGACTCGACATAAAAGTGTTTGAATCTCACGCTTGAATTCAATTCGCTTTAATTTAAGTAATTAATCGCACGAATAGTACTGAAGACAAAACAGCAAATAATATATGTATTATAAAATTAGAAAAATTTCAATTGAATTCAAGTTAACTACAAATGTGATAAAACATCAATCTTTCGAAATAATTGTCGGTAAATATTATCTGTGATATAATCTATGGTTAGTTTTACTTAAATTATAACTTTTTTCATTGTCTCTATAGGAATGAAATAAACAATTAATTTTATAGACAAATCCCTGTAATAAACCACTGAAAAGCACTGTTTGCATAAAACGAGTCATTACTTTAAATATTTTCAACACATTGTAATCAAACTTTTAATTAAATTCTAGTCTATTATTAAATTATTTATCTTAAATTAATTTACAATAAAATATAAATTATTTTTAAAATATACAAAACATTTATGCTTTTGTTGTGAATCACATCATAAGACCAGATGTAGTCCTCCATCACATAAAAGCACTTCTCCCGTAATATATGAGGCATTGGCCAAGAAATGAACGGCTTCTGCGATCTCATCGGGAGAACCGATTCGTTTCAATGGAATCAGTTCTTCGGGCATTGGTTTCACTATTTCGGACGTCATATCAGTTCTCACAAAACCTATCCGTTTTAGATTCAAATAACCGTTTCATTTATGTAATCAAACTAATGGTCAGTCAAATACCCGGTGCGATCACATTCACTGTTATGCCTTTTGGCGCCATTTCTTTGGCCAAAGATTTCGTAAACCCAATGAGTCCGGCCTTTGAGGCCGAATACACGGTTTGGCCGGCGTTTCCCTTCAGTCCCACAACACTTCCTGTCACCCGAAACAAGTGGTTAACACAACAAACCGATTGTCATTAAACAAGTGATTGAAACCTATGTTAACAATGGATCCCTTCTTCTGTCTAATCATATGCTTTAACACTGTTTTACACATAAACATAGTTCCCATTAAATTGGTCTCAATTGTACTTCTA